GAACCGATTAAACCCGAAAACGATTAGATCCGAACCCGATAATACCCCAAACCAATAAAATCCGAAACCGATTAGATCTGAAACCGATAATATCCGAACCCGATTAGAACTAAAATCGATAAATTCAGAACTATGTTGGCCTTTCGATAAGCATATTATATTTTTAAATTTTTACCTTTTTTACCATTTGAACTAATTACATTACTTGCTCATTCTCTCATAAAATCGATTATCTTCTTGAAAAAAAGTACAAAATTTTATGTCTTAAATTTGTTATATGTAGAAATTAAAGATAAGTTATACATATAAATGATAATGCACAAACAAATAAAATTTCCGTAATTTTTAAATAGTGAAGTGTGATATTCTTTTTGGGACGAAAGGAATATATGATGAATTGTATGGAATAACTAGATTTTATCCTAATTTCATCTCATTACAATAAATTTTATTGATTTGAGAGTTAATTTGATTAGTTTCAAACCAATTCACTCAATATTAGTCAATAAAATTAGATGCTAGTGTCAGCATTTTGAAAAGACTCTCTAGCGGCAGCCTTTGCTGTTATCATTTTCAAATTTGATCTACACCATTACATTTAGGTGTAAAATTAATTATATTTGACTCTATTAAATTTAATTTTCTCTATTTTCAACCAAATATACTCAATAATTTACAAATTTTGCACTCAATTGAATAAAATTCACTTAATTTCACTCAATTTTACTTAATTTTTACCACATTGTATTCAAATGGAACTTAAGACAATTTGAATTTATCTTTTATCCTTTCATTTATGTACATAAGTATATTACGGAGTAGTAGATGTGAGAAAAATTTGATATTTCAAAACTAAATTTTAAAATCAATTTAATTATATTAAATTTATATCATAATTAAATATATATGTTTTCATAATTTGTAGTCCAAATTTGTAAAATATGACTAAAAAGTCAAAAAGGAAAGATTATTTAGGGTAGAGATAATATAACTAGAAAAAAATATATAATAATATGAGGTATTGAATTGATGATAGATTGATAAATGTGCTAAAACATAAAAAGAAACACAAATAGTTAAATTTTAATTAGAAAATAATATATATCCAAAATATATTTTATCCGAAACCGAAATATATCCGAACCGAACTAGACCCGAAACCGAAATATATCCGACTCAAATTGTATCCGAACCAAAATTTATCCGAACCGATTTATAACCGAACCGTATCTGAACCGACTCGAATCCGAACCGAACCGAAAAATGTATAGAACCGAAATCAAATCCGAACCGAAATTTAACCGATCCGAACCGATTATAACATATAACCGAAAGATATCCAAACCAAAAAAATCCAACCCGAAACCGATCCGGTTGATCCGATTGCCACCTCTACCGACATGTAGATAATTTAGTGATTAGGGTTTGGGAGAGTTTTTTACTATATATGATGAGGGTTGTACACCTCATGGGGCATGGATCAATAAACTACCCTCCTTCTCCCAAAAGAATTCTTCCTTCTCCTTCACCCTAATTCGACAGCCGCCTCTTCACACCTCTCTCTGTACGACCGGAAAGGATCGGACGTATCATCTGGTGCTTTCATTCCCGTTCTCAATGGCTCCCTTCGATCAACCTCAATCTTCCTTGACATTAGACGATGTCATGCATGCCCTCGAGGCACTGGGCAACGATCTGTAGGACACAAAATCTCGTGTGGCTGACTTGGTGATGTCCAAATGGCCAGCGTTCGGTGAGCACCAGCGTCCTCCAGCTTCTCGCACGACCCCCCAATGCTGGATCCGGCCCCAAGAATGCGCGTTGATGCTACGCGTTTCTCCAGAGAAGACCCGACACGTTGGATCTTTCGTGTTCAAAAGTATTTTGATTACTTTCTCACGCCCGAACCCGAACGTTGGCACTTGGTTGCCATGTTGATCGATCATCCGGCATTGGATTAGTTTCACTATTACCAGGCGAATAACCCTACGGCTAACATCCATGGCCGGAATTCTTGGATGCGATGCAACAACGCTTTGATCCTACGTACTATGAGAATTTTTATACTCCCTATTATATATTTAAAGAATTTTTTTTAAAAAAGTTATTGAATACATTAAACGACAAAGTTTTCATATTAAAAATTATCTAATATACATAAACCCATAATGCACTAAATTTTTTTAATAAATTTCTCATCTTTAATTAGTGGTATAAGATGAGCTACTCAAGAGTATATTTTAGCTCAATAAATTTTCATACAAAAGAATAAATTAATAATTTTTAAAAAATTATATTTTACTCAAAATAATTTTAATATGATTTTTGTTTATATGAAAAAAGACCAAGGCTAATCATGATTAGTTTCTTTTTTATGATTAATTTATTTATTTTTTGTTGAAAAATTACATTTATTTCATTTACATAATTTTCAATAAATTCAAAAGTCCATAATTTTTCACTATAAAATATATTTTGTTTTAAACTCATCATATTTTAAAGATTATCATAAATAAATTTTAATAAATGATGAATGAGCATTTAAAGCATGTAATGTAATTTATTTATGTGCCATGTCATTTAAAAATTGCCATGTAGGATGACACATGTCAACTTACTAAATATCTCTCCAGCCGGTCGGTTGGAGTTAGATTGAATCGACTTTGTATTCTTCCCAACAATGAATCCCGTTCAAGCTGTGATAAGAGGACATTTCCGTACCCCTTACCTTACTCAAGAAATAAAGTCATGCTGATGAGCAGTAGTGTCTAAGAGGAAGGGTTCACGCTTTGAGCTACCTATTTTTTGTGATCAAATACATGAGTTTCAAATATTATAGTAAAGGATATAGGATTTGGCGCTGGTTCGACGGTGGATCACCATCAGACGCCGGTGATATTGCCTTCTCCATCGTTGTCGTCTGCTTCCCTTCTTTTCGTCCTAGGGTTCGAACCCTTGATCAGCATCACCAAATCGGCTGGTCCCCACCACTCTCACTGCGCGAATTAGGGTATGTATGCCATCACTTATACTAAAAAAAGTATGAAGTTAATAAAATCTGATGTGATACTAATTTGAAGGCGAGAAATAATATAATGAGCAAAATATTTCAAACTATGCATACCCATGCATACCCTCCGTAATATTTAAAATCCCCTAAAGTTTGTTCATCAACAATGTTAGATCTACGAATCCACATATTCCATGACAGTGGACTTGCTGATTTCATTTACTTAATATTGTTAATAAAAGAGTTTGTCGTAATAAAATACTCTGTATTTATTTTGTCAACAAAATCGTTATATGAGATGTCATGTAGGAAATGCATTAGGTTTGATGGCCAAATAGCGTCAGTACCCCGTGGTTTGCAAAATATGCAGCAATAGCCCCTCTTTTTTCAAAACTTATTTCTAAAGTCTTTGTGGTTTCAAAACGCTGCACCCGTGCCCCCTCTGATCATTTTCCGGTCATTTTTCCGGCGAAGAAGGGGGACATTCATGCATATTTTCTAAACCATGAGGGGTACCAGTGCTGATGTTTTATTTCTCTCCCTTTTTCCCATTTTTTCCTTTATTTGTTTCATTTATTAATAAAGGTTATTTTACAATTACTTTTATAATGTTCTTAAAATTTAAAGTTATATTTGTTTGAAAAAATTAACATATAATGCATCGGCACGTCTCAAATTAACAATTTTTGTTTTTTTCTGAAAAAAGGTAATTTTTTAGAACTTCTAAAAAATGATGAATAAAATAAGAAACAAAATAACACAAAAATAAAAATGATTATCTTTTTTGGACATCTCAATTTTAAGGATATTTTTAGGCGTGTTCCAAAATTGTTTTTTGTAGAAGACTCTTTTTTTCGTATTTTAATTTTTTCATTTCGTTTTTCCATATTTTTATTTTGGGTTTCTTTTTGAACTTTCCAAAAAATTATTCTATGTAAGAAAAAGTGAAAAATGTTTAATTTGAGATAGATGTAATGTATGTTAATTTTTTTTATTAGTTCAAACACAAATAATTTTAAAAAAAATCTAAAACATTATAAAAAATTGAAAAGAAATTTTAAAAAAATAATCTAGGAAAAGGAAAATGAAGGAAAAACACAAATAATAAACGAAAAATAAGAAATGAGCACGAGTGCCCCCTATGGTTTAAAAATTATGCGCCAATGCCCCCTCTTCGCCGGAAAATGGCCGGAAAATGATCAGAGGGGGTGTGGGTACAACGTTTTGAAACCACAGGAACGTTAGAAATAAGTTTTGAAAACAGAGGGGGTATTGGTGCCAATTTTTCAAACTACAGGGGGCACCGGAGCTATTAGGCCTAGGTTTGATATCGAATTTTACAAATATTTAGAGACGGATATCGTTTGTGAATTCTGATATAAATATAAATTGTTATTCATTATGGTGTTTGGAAAATATTTAATGTCAAACTTGATAAATTTCTTGTATTTTTGTAATCGAAGAGAGTTTTCTTTGAAGTAATGCTAAAAACTCATCAGGTTTAAGGCGTTTGACACAAATTTGACACCAAGTGTTATTAGTAATTGTCTATGACGACGCACATAAAATTATTCTCTACATATATTTTTAAAATGAGAAATTTATCTAAATAGGACTAAAACATAATGACTTTTCCAATATAGGACAATATGTTTTTATTTTCTAATGTATGACCTTTGGTCATTATCAATTAGTCATTATTCAAATATATTTCCATCATTACTGGACATTATTTTTTTCCACTAGACATTATTAAATCCTATTTAGAGAATAAAATAATTTAAATTCTACATTGAAAAATAATTTTTGTTTTAGTCCTATTTAGTGCAAATTTCACTCTTAAAAATATTTGATGTCAATTTTGTGTTGTCAAAGTCAAACTTGGTGAGTTTTTAGAACTCCACCGTATTTTTTTCTATTTTGATTTTTGAGGGGCAAAAATGGGAAAGTTGGGTGGTATACAAAACGAACGGATAAAAAAAAAAGAAGACGGTAAAAATTCGAAAGTGAGAGTGATTGGAAATCAAAATCAAATGGCTCCCATTTGCCCTGTCCGATGCTAAGGTCGCGTTTGGGTGAGTTCTTTTCATCTCTTAAATTTGGGAGCTGCGTTTCACTGCTCTGGCGATGGTGCGAATTAGGGGCTGTTTGGCTTCGGAGATGTCAAATCCCTCCATTTTTCGATCTGTGAGTTGCCATTTTCCCAGTCTCGAGCTCCTTCTCTTCGCTTTCATGATTTTGCTTCCATCTGTGAAATCTCATTTAATTTACACTGTTCTTTCTATCCTCTCTTGAATTTCCCTACCCTTTCATGTCGTTTGTATCGTCTCCTAGGGTTTGGAAGAATGTGGAGATCTAGGGTTATGCTTATTGATTGTGTAGATTTCTTGGGGGTTAATTTCAACAAAAGATTTCATCTTTTTTTTTCCCGTTGGGTTCCCAAGATTTTGCCCTATACTCTGCATATGCTACTACTCGTCAATTAGATTTGTGCTTTAATGTTAGTTTCTTTTTCCTGGTTAAATTTTCAGGTTTAGCCAAGTACTTATTGTTGTAGGCTTCTGTTGTGGTTGTCAAAGCGCTCTCTTTTGCCTAATAAATGGCAGACACGAGCTCGGTGGATGTGATACTGGAGTTTCTAAGAAGGAATAAGTTTACTCGGGCCGAATCTGCATTGCTAAGTGAGCTGAGCAGTCGTCCTGACGTGATTGGAGTTCTTCAGAAGCATGCGCTTGAGGATAATGGGTTCAACCCGCCTTTGGAAGAATCCAATGGGTGGAAGGCTGCAGGAGAGAGTATGGGAACAAATGGTAGGAGTAGTGGTTTGATTGATAAGGAGATAAGTTCAAGGAGCAGTAGAGGTACCTCGAAGGAGCTTATGGCCAATGGGCAAGACTGCAAGTTGAAGAACATCGTTAATGCAGGGGAGCAAAACAAAGCTAATGAATTGCACTTGCGAAAATTCAATCCTAACCCTAGTCCTCTCGTTTTTCACCAGAGTGATGGGGGGAGCCTTGTTGGGAACGCATTTATGGGGTTTCCGGTTTCGGGAAAGACAATGCCACATGCAAGTGATGGGCATGACAGTGGTAAGGATACGGACTTGTGCCGTGAAGATGGCAGCGGTTTCTCAAAAGAGATCAGAACATGGCCTGGAAGTACTAGTAAAGCTACTCTGGAAACAAAGCAGGAGAAGAGTCAACACAGTGAAGTCAAGGAGGTTGATCAGTCACAAAAGAAACCCAGATCCAAAGATTGCATGGTCAAAACGGTTTTTCCTCTCTCAAAAGGAGACACGTCAAATTATGATCTTAATACTGTGGTAGGTGACAAAAAAGAAGGAAAAAGACAACCAGTAATTAGTGATATCAAGACAGCTGTTAAAGAACAAGGTGATGAGATAGAAAGAGCTTCATACTTAGGGAGGACACTGGGAAGTGAACCGAAGGATCTCAGTTGTTTCGACTTCCCCTTTGCATCCTCTGGGAACCAAAAGGAAGAGCTACCCAGGCTACCACCTGTCAGGCTCAAGTCAGAAGACAATTCATTCAATATCCATTGGGTGGAAAAGTTTGAACGAGATGGAATAGACTCAAGAATTGCAAATTCAGACAAGTCCTATCATATAGGGTCATTTCTGGATGTTCCTGTGGGACAAGAGACGAACCAGTTGGGTAAACGGCCAACTGGTGGTAGCTGGCTCTCTGTAAGTCAGGGTATTTCTGAAGACACTTCTGATCTTGTTTCTGGTTTTGCAACAATCGGTGATGGAATTAGTGACTCGGTTGACTATCCAAATGAATATTGGGATTCTGATGAATATGACGATGAGGATGATGTAGGCTACACGCGACAACCTATTGAAGACGAGACTTGGTTTTTGGCTCATGAAATTGATTACCCTAGTGATAATGAGAAGGGAGCAGGACATGAGAGTGCCCCAGATCCTCAAAGAAATAAAAGCAGAGAAGAAGATGAACAATCTTTTGTGGAGGAAGATTCCTATTTTTCAGGCGAGCGGTATATCCCATCAGAAAATGTTGATCGAGTTAGACCATCAGATGGTCCAACAGATCTTGCTGTGACTGGAATATACAGAAGACCTGATGACTTTGTTGCAGAATATGATGGACAATTGATGGATGACGATGAATTGAATTTTATCCGCGCAGAGCCTGTGTGGCAAGGGTTTGTCACTAAGACAAATGACCTTGTCATGCTAGGGGATGGAAAACATGGCAATGAGCGTGGAAGGCTTTATTTAGATGACTTGTGCATGGATGATGATCAACATGGATCGGTTAGATCCATAGGTGTGGGAATAAGCAGTGATGTTGCTGATATCGGCAGTGAAGTGCGTGGAAGTTTGGTTGGAGGAAGTATTGATGAAGACATAGAGTACTTCCGGGATAATGATGTTGGCATTGGTGGGTTTGCCCGGCTCATACTGCATGATTCAGATAAGGCTTTTTCTAAAAAAGATGCTAACTCTAGTTCTGACAAGTTTATAACAGGTGTTGATAGAACAAAGAGTCACCCAGATGGGGGATTCTCTTTTCCCCCTCCTAGAAATGGACAGCCTGTTCAGACCATCTCCAACAAACATTTGTTGTCAAAGGAAAGAAGCACTTTTATTGCTGATGATATCGACAATTGTATAGAGGAAAACAATCACATGCTTGTTCCATGGAAGCACAACAGTACTGATTCATCACCTGTCGAGAGCTCAAAATGTGAAAATAATGCTGCTGGATCCGCAAATTCTAGCCCTTCTTCTCCTTCAAATTATGGGTATGCTGAACGGGGTTTTGGGGAGAAAAATCATGATACACAAATAAGTGCAAGGGAAGATGATATGGGGATATCATTGGAGGACGAAGAAGCAGCTGCAGTTCAGGAGCAGGTGAAGCAGATAAAGGCACAAGAGGAAGAATTTGAAACTTTTGAGCTAAAAATTGTGCACAGGAAAAACAGGCATGCCATCTTTTTTCAGTTTACTGCTTTTTTTACTTTTATTTTTATGCTATGTCTCTATGTCTGGGAATTGAGGGAGAAGAAAGTCCGAGAGAGGGATGATTACAGAAAAGAAAATGGTGAAGGAATGTGTGTTTAGGGGAGAGAAAAGGTGGAAAAAAATTTAAGGACATGATGGTGCACTTGAGATGTATAGTCAATATGGAAAAGTTTTACCAGGAAAAAGTCCCCTCACCTTTAGATACACATTCGACAATCAAATCCAGATATCGAGTACTTTCTTCATCTGAGTAGCTGTTGCTTTCATTAACAATTATAAATAGTTCATAACATCAAATGTTTTTTCCGCCACATATTTAAAAGAATATAAATAAAATAAACATGTTCAAAATTTAGGATGCCCTACATTATTAACATGCCAACAACCCAGTATAATCCCAACTCTGTTGGGGTCTGGGGGGGTCAAGATGCACACAATCTTACCCCTGTAAAAACAGATCGACTGTGTCCGTTAAACCCTAGATGCATTGCTGCAATTATTTCCCAAAACTTCACAGGATGTAAGTAGCAAGGGAAGTTTAGTGTTCTGTTCTGATTTAGTCCATTATGTGCCCAAAACTAAACATTATCAATGATGACATTTTTAGTTCCATTGGCAATGGACGGAAGACGAATTATTAAAGGAACATAATTAACATGCCAATACTCAAAGTTGCAGGCACTATCTGCATAGAAGGACATCTTTTCTTCGCCTAAAACAATTTGTTCTGTTTTGACTTTTTAAAGATCTGATATAATCTGACTGTTTCTGATCTCTTCTAGTTTTAATGTCTTAAATACAATATCTGTGGTTGGTCTGATCTGAAAGTTATGGTCTGGTTTGAATGATTCTTGTCTGGAATCTGGATGTTTTTAAAAGTTTAAAATAAGAGTAAGTAATAAACAAAAACAGTAAGACAAACATTTTAGGGCCTAAGTTGCACAAATTCAATGATTTTGCCACGTGGTATTACAGAAGGTTTCTGTTCACTCTTAGAGCATCTTTAGTGGGGTTGCTTAGGGGGAGTTCATAGCTAAGGTAAGGTTGCTTCCCTAAGCAATTCCTTTGATAAATGAAGCAACCGGTGCTCCACATGAGCTCCACATCAATTTCTTAAGAGCTTTGCATTAAAGATGCTCTTAGTGCCATTAGAGCTCCCGCTATTCACGGTGGATCTTGGAGAGCTTGTGAGTAGACAAGCAATAAGTATTTGGGACATTGAAGATCTGGAATATGAGTTGAATATACGGAGTATAACAATAGCAATGGTGGTGGCTTCGTTATGTGCCTTAAAAGAAATTAATTGGTGTGAATAGAAGGAGTAAAAGTGTGAAACCTAGTATTAGATTTCATAGTTCTTTAGTTACATGAGTGTAATGAGTCCTAATGACAGTGTATTGCACATCATAGTTACATGGCTGAATTTGTGAGGCCGGAAAGATTAAAGTTTATAGTTTTATTTTCTCACTGCACATGATAATTAATTGCCAATAAGATTGCTGATGTACATAAAGTCAGTAGTATTAAAACTCAGCTACTCTCAGCAAAGCATGCTTTCCCTTGATTAAATTAATACTTTTTCTATATTTCCATGTAAAGAGGATACCATTGCTAGTGTGTGCAGCCTATTTAAGAAGCATTATTGCCCATTTATTTTGGGCGTCTTTACCTGATGATGAAAGTTGGAACTCTGGCTCTCCTCTCTCACCTTTCATGTGGGAATACGTCAAATATGCTTTATTTACTGGAGCTCTTTTTGTGTGTGTTCAGAACTGGCTTTGAGGAGGAGAAGAATTTTCATGTTGTTCTAAACTCAGTTATAGCTGGGCGCTATCACGTAACAGAGTACCTTGGATCTGCTGCTTTTAGCAAAGCTATCCAAGCTCACGACCTTCATACTGGCATGGATGTTTGCGTGAAGATTATAAAGAACAACAAAGATTTCTTCGATCAAAGCCTTGATGAGATAAAGCTTCTCAAGTTTGTCAACAAGCATGACCCTGCTGATAAATACCATATTCTTCGTCTGTATGATTACTTCTATTATAGAGTAAGTGGCTAAGTGCGTAATTTTGCCTGCAATAGTAACAAAATATGTTTCCTTGTATCATTTGCTTTAATAATTAATAGTGACTTCCTTTCCCGTCTTTATTATGTTTCTGAATATTAGCTTTTGCTTTGTGCCTCTTGTTTTCAAATTTCATATGAGTACTTTTTTTTCATATAACCTCTTCTATTACAATTATGTGCTGTTCTGTTTGGGATGTTTTGGCAATTAGGTTACATGTTCATAGCTTATACAGTATAACATATTGCTCACTTTCAAGAGATTTCTTTAATTAGTCCATGATTAAACCTCAAATAACTGTGCTCGATATAAAAATTATTTAAAAAGATGGTAATGAACTATCTTAACATGTCGAGTACTAATATAGTAGTTACATATCGATGAATGATGTTTTTGTATTAAAAACAATTTGTAATTAAAAAAAACTCAGAAAAAATATCCTGCATTCTCATAGGCACTAAATTTTCTAAACAACCCATTAAATGCTTATCTTGACAGATTTGAGATTTCTTGTGCTATGAATGTATCTCTTTATTCCGTACAGAGATCAATGTAGTTTTTGGTGTTAATAATGTTTTTTATTTAACTTCTGATGTTTTTTCTTTCCTTTTTTTAAAAGAAATGTAGCTAATGATTTTACTATGCAATTGACATTGTTAACACTTAACAGTCTCTTTTTTTAGACCGGGTCATGAGTTTCCACTCAGGGTACATATCTTTCATTGTGTTACTTAATATTGGTGTTACTGCTCAAAATGAAGTCTATATAATATGGATCAAATTGTGCATTTTCAGGAACATCTATTGATTGTGTGTGAGCTACTGAAAGCAAATCTTTATGAATTCCACAAATTCAATAGAGAATCTGGAGGGGAAGTGTACTTTACAATGCCAAGATTGCAGGTTTGTCATGTAGCAAGCTCTCTATGAATGTTAATTTGCTTTTTTTTCCTTTGGTATACTGAACTTTGATGACTTTTATTATGTACAGTCAATCACAATTCAGTGTTTGGAGGCACTTCAATACTTGCATTGTCTTGGCCTCATACACTGCGATTTGAAACCTGAGAATATTTTGGTGAAAAGCTACAGTAGATGTGAAGTGAAGGTCATTGACCTTGGGAGCAGTTGTTTTGAAACAGACCATCTCTGTTCATATGTTCAATCTAGATCATACCGTGCACCTGAAGTGATTTTAGGACTTCCTTATGACAAAAAGATTGATATCTGGTCACTTGGTTGCATATTGGCAGAACTTTGTACCGGCAATGTAAGTTCCTTCTGTTTTTTGTATAGATTTTTGATCTAGTATTCACTTGCTTTCTACACACACACACACACACACCTTTGGTTAAATAATTATTCTATATTCACAAGTATGATGTATTCATTTTCTACACACCATTATTTTTGTTGGTAGGGAATGTATTGATTGAAAAGTGAGTTAATGTGTAATTTATGAGTAACATAGCCTTGTTCTTTTGGGTTGGAATTTCAGAGTTGGATGTTTGAAGAAACTAGAAGGTGTTTGAAAAAATTGAAAGGAGTTAGAAAATGTTAGAAGAATTAGTGTGTTAAAAAGTCACACAGTTAAATGGTCACCCAAATAAATACCGTATGTAAGAAAACTCTAAATTTGGATAAAAAAGAATTCATCTTTGTCCATGTGTGAGGTGGTATGTTATAAATTTGGATATATAATGCTATTGTATATTCATCATATATAAATACCTTTTTGAAGTCATTGTTGGAAGGAGTTGGGAGAAACTGAAAGAAGTTGAAAAAAGTAGGAAGTTAATTTTTCCAACTTAAAAGAACAGGGCCTTAATGTGTAGTTTTTAGTTCTTGAGAGACACATCCCGAGAGTGGCTTTGTTGATGAATTTATCGAAAGCTGAATTTCATGGGATTCCCGCAAAAAAGCTAAACAGCTTTTTTTCTCCTGCTCTGCAGGTCCTTTTCCAGAACGATTCTCCTGCCACATTACTTGCTCGGGTAATTGGTATTATAGCTCCAATCGACCAAGAGATGCTTGCCAAAGGAAAAGATACATACAAATATTTCACCAAAAACCACATGCTGTATGAACGAAATCAGGTAAATCTCTTATATGCCACCTGCTTGTTTCTTTTCTTGAGTTTTTTTTAATGATTATATGCTCTGTTGCCATTTATTGATCTTTTTCTGGCATTTTTCCCTTCAGGAATCAAACCGACTGGAATACCTTATCCCCAAAAAGTCGTCTTTAAGGCATCGGTTGCCGATGGGGGATCAAGGCTTCATTGACTTTTTAACTCATCTGCTAGAGATCAACCCGAAGAAGCGCCCTTCTGCCTCGGAGGCTCTAAAACACCCTTGGCTCTCCTACCCTTACGAACCCATCTCATCTTAAAGACAGGAGAGAAGATGCCTTACGGAGGATCCTGTGGTGACTTAACTGGGGGAAGGGATGCCCTCCAAAAGTGTGTATAATACCACCTTCCACATCACAGAGCAATTCCATTTCTATACTACATGATGGTGATGATGTAGAAATGGTGAATGTAATGATGCATCCACATTTGTAACACTATTGTGTGGTTTTGTACATGATGTTGTGTGTGTGTGTTCAGATCTATTAGTCCTAGAGATGTGAGGGAGGGGGTGGTGGGTGGGGGGCTTTTAGGGGTGCATTCTTTTTAGGCAATGTTTAATGTATCCAATTTTGGTTGGTCTTATGACTGATCTGCTGAACTGTATCCTTATTACCATGATCTATATATATATATGTGTATTAAGCTTTCAAGCTCCCTTAAATTCAGATTCCCAGCATAATTTTTTTTGTGTTTTGGGCGTGCTTGCTAGGGGAACATCCATATAAGAAAAAGTTAAACCTTTTACACTAATTTAAAAATAAAAATCCACGGGATATGCATATTTGCTTATTCCCATGTTGCGCTAAATTGTTCAACCATGCTAGGGGTACATTAAGGAGTGTATTCCAAAGTGTACATCAAAGGTATGCACTAACATTTTCATAGATCAGACTGACATAAAATGTTAGTGTGATAAAAATAATTGCATTAACATTTTGTTTATGTGTAAACCATCGCACTAACATTATACTGGTACAAAATGAAAGTGTGCACCTCTAGTGTACAATTTAGGACACAATTTTTGGGTTACAAGCACCTTAATTCTAAGCTCTTTCACTCACTTAACGTTTTGATGTCTTCCTCTAATCAACAACCGGTCTTGGAGTCACTGGACCGGTCGGCCAACACTCTCATTCTTTAAATAATTATCATTTGACTCTCTCAAAACACATTCATTGGTGTCATCCTATCACTATTAAACATTTTGTGTTGATCTTTCTTGACTTATTGTTGATAAATAGCTTTTAACTTATAACTTACTTATAAGTTAAATAATTTTTCTTGGAAGTAAAAATGATTTAAATTATAGATAAATCATTTGGGGATATTTCTTAATGGGATAGATTATTTTGTAAATAATCTGGTCAAAACGGAAAATTAAAAAACTAACTTAGAAATAATTAGATAAGACTTATTTCTTTTACCCGTTTGGTTAATTTTGGAAGTATGATACTCTACGTGTTTTGAAATCTGAGAGAAATGATATGAGTTTTGAATTCTGAAATGAAATTATTTGGAGAGATTTAAAATTATGATTTAATTAGTGATAGGTGGTGTGATCGACAACAAGGGTGGTTGGCGGTGACAATGATTGCCGGTGACGGAGAATGATCAGCAAACCCTCATATTGATATCTCCCGAATTCAGGAAATATCAAAAGCAATCATTTGGAAGATTTATGATGTCTAAAAATATCAAACTCGATGTCTTTTTTAGCTTCACCAAACACTAAAAAAAAGGATTTGATATCTAGAGATATCAAAACACCTATATTTTTAACCCACTTATAAGCATAGAGAAACATCCACATTGAAGGGCTCCAAACAAATAGTCAAACTAATAGGAATGATGTATTAGATGATATTAGATGAAAACAGGTGGCAATATGTTTAAATTTTAAACATCATGATGATAAATGGTCCCACCATAAATTATACTCCCTCCGTCCCTAAATAAACTTCCCCTTTCATTTTTTCTTTGTCCCCAAATAAACTTCTCTTTTCTCTTAAAAAACCCCTTTTACCCCTTACTTTTTCATACCCTACCTATCACATCATACCTTTTTTACTAATAATCTACATATCACATCTTACTTTTACACATCACATCAAGGGTATTTTTGGAAAGTCAACACAAAAATATCACTCCCTTGAATCCTCAAAAAGTCAAAAAGGAAAGTTTATTTAAGGACGGAGAGAGTAAAATAGTTCTGAACTCTTTTTTTTCTTTTGAACAAGTCAAGTCGTAAGCAAAAAAAGTAAACACTTTAATTTTATATTTCCAATCCACATCTACAATTTCTTTGATTTCATATACGGAGTATTAAATTATATTCCCTCCGTCCTAAAATTAACTTATCATTTGACTTGTCACGGTCTCCAATGCGACACTTTGACCATCAATATCTCAATTTTTATATAAATATATTTTACAAAAATTATATATTTCAAAACTATGTTTAAAAATGAATCTATTGCTAATAAATTTATACGAAAATTCAATATATTTTTTCCATAATATAAGGTCAAAGTTTAAAAAGTTTGACTATAAAAGTCAAACTGAGAAGTTAATTTTAGGACGAAGGGAGTAATAATAGTTATACTGTGTATTATTATACTTTCTTTGTTCGAAAATAAAGTTTTCATTTCTCCTTTTCTCCGTCCGAAAATAAATATCCCGTTTAAATTTTTAACATAGAAACTACCCTAAATATTCTCACCCATTATTTGACTTCTTTCCTCTTTTTCACACCTTTCCTCTCCGTTCTTTTTCTTGATCGGCACCTTCTCTCTCTATCTTCCCCCTACCCCTTCTATCTTCTTCTTTTCTCTCTCTCCCTCTCTTTCCCCCTTCTTCTCCTTCTTCTTCTCCTTCATTTAATAGGGTGTAAGGGCATTTATGAAACTTCAATGCCATCTTTTTTCTTTTTTATTTATGCTCCAAAGTAAAAATATGCAATATAGAATGGGACGGATGGAATTGTTGGAATTTTGACACATAACGGACAACTTTAGACGTAAATTCGGTAGGGTCCACAAAATTATTTTTCCAAATAATTATGGAAAAATATTATTCTAAGTGAGACGAGTATTTCGATATATTGTGCGCCAAAATTGGTGCTCAGGTGAATGAGAAATTAATTCACAAAGTCGCTCACTTGGAAGGGGGAAAACCCACGTATCCCACATCGGATTTGAAATCCTTTCAATTCCTCCATTTATATGCTAGTCTTTCATAACATTGTAAAAGCAATTTATGGAGGGAGAACTAAGGAGGCCCTCGCGCACCGCCGCTGTTGTCCATCCGTCCGGCTCAGTTTGGCACGCGCAAATGCGTGTTGTCTTGTGTGTGACGCATCGTGGCGAGGGCGTGGGTAAAACTCTTATCTTTTACGAGACCGAATTGAACACGCATGCATGCACAAGGGAGGTGAAGGGTGAGAAGTCACCTGTGACGCCTCGTAATGTCCGCCGGTCCACTTGAAGAACCAGCTTCCCTCCTATAAAAGGAAGACTTGGCTGCAGGGAAGGGCACACTCGAAAATCTCGAAAAAGTTCCCTGCGTTCCAACTCTCTCTCTCACTGTTTTGATCATTTTCTCCGGCATAACTCTTTCGTCATTCTCGTTCGTCGGCAAAAGTTTCTACCGCTCTAGTTCTTGTGCATTACCAGTTTTATCCTGGGAGGAGATCGTCCACGTTGTTGCCAGTGCGGGAGGCGGGTGACACTACCTTAAAGTAGGGCTGGACACGGTACCGGTACGGTACCGTTGCCGGAAACGGTACCGCCGGTACCATCTACCGTCACCGTCGCACGGTACGTCACACCGGTTCCGGGAACCAGTACCGGAACCGCCCCAACCGGCACCGGTACCCAAATTTTCGTCCCGGAACCGCCGGTACCGGGACGGTACCGGTACCGTTACTTTGTTTTTTTTCCTGCACCTGCAACAAATCCAGCCATCGGGTTGTTGGTTCTTCATTCAGGGAACAAATCCAACAATAACTGGAGATCGGGTTGGTTCTTCATTCAATAACTCATGGAATAATAACAAATCCACCTAAAACAATGGCAACAAATCCAACAATAACTCAGGGAACTCGTTTGCCATCGGGTTGGTTCTTCATTCAGAGGAAGGAGTGGCCTCAAATGAGAGACGACGAGAACGGGTTGGTGAAAATACTCTGTATTTTTAAAATTTTTTTAAAAATTTTAAAAAAAGCAAAAAAAAAAGGGAGAGAAGCGAAACCGGCCGGTCCGGTACCGGAACCGCCGGTCCGGGAACCGGAACCGGTACCGGCCGGTCCGGTCACGGTGCCGGTGCCATGGGGTGGCGGTACCGGAACCGGAACCGTCCCGGAACCGTACCGTGTCCACCCCTACCTTAAAGAAAGCTCCGGCGATTCGCTTTCCTTCTCCTTTCGTTTTCTGATCACCGGCGACTTTTTTTGTTGTTGTAGACTTTGATTGTGTTATAAGTTTGGATTATTATTTTTTTAATATTCATTCCCGCTGTAATTTGTAACAGGAATAACTATGACGATAATTCTTAAGTACAAGTTGAATGGCCTGTCCATTATTTTTTCCATTATTAGTAGCGTCGAATAGTTGAATAGTGTTCAATAGTGTTTACAAATTCAGTTCAATTTAATTAAAGTTTAGTTCAATAATAATAATATTAATAATAATACTATTTTCGTTTATATAATATTAATATTAATAGTATTAGTGTAAATATAACAATAAAATGATGTTTTTTCAATAAAATGATATTATTATTAGTTATACAAATCTAAATTTTAATCTCTTTTTTTCAAAATAAACACAAAACAAAGTGATTGACAATTTAATATTTCGTAATAATCTTCTTACATAGCAGAACAAAAATGCAAATAAAAAATTACCTAATGAAAATATAAGTTTCTTGCAAATCTTTACATGGAAACAAAAAATCAACAAAACACGGAACATTTAAACTATTAAAGTATTGAACTGTTTTAAACATAAAAAATTAAAGTATATGAATATATATATATATATATATATATATATATATATCTGTGTGTGTGTCTATATATATATATATATATAAATTATAAAGCAAAATATTTTGTAGTGTAGAGTGGGGGTTTTGAAACTACGGGTTTTTGGCATCTTAGGAGAAACTTTATCTACTTGAGGTACTAAACATGTTGTTACATAAGTCATGCAATAGCATATATATGAATTGTGTCGATTTCAATAAACTTTCAATTATTTAGAAAAAGTAACACAAGTAATATCTAGTATACTTATTTTATGAACTTATAAAATTAATTCAAAAAATAAATAAATAAAGCATGTTTATATTTTATCTAAAAATTAATATGAATACTTATACTTAAAAAATTATTTTTTCAAAAGAAAATCCTAAACATTTATTTTTGTCAAAAAAAATTAAGAAATACGATGTTGAAGATAAGATGTGACAAGAATACACTACAAGAAAAAAGGCATTTTACCACACTTAAATTCATAAAAGAGCCTATATGGGAATCGAACCCACATCTCCGTGCACTTTTGCACACGACGCTCTACCATTGAGCTAATAGACTAAGAAAATAACTCAAATAGTATAATAATACTATTATATATGTTAATAAAATATCTCAAAGTTAAACTATCTAGTTGATACAAATAATTTGCACTTTTAGAGCATTTCAAAGTAATAATGTGTCACCAGTTTTTCATCTAGTCGTTTTCGTGTAATTCTACCCATGAAATAATTGATTGAATATAAAAAAAATTTCAAAAGAAGTATTATATGAAAATGTAAAAGTGTCATTTGTGAAGTTCATAGTACAATAAACAATTGGTGCTTACCCTCATTCCTCTGCTAGAACAACAGTCGACTTTTTCCTCTTTTTCCGAAAACACTTATGTGTGACCCTTCAAGGATCCCAACCTGAAGCTTCAAATGTAGCCTACTGATCTGCTGCACTCCCAATTTAACAAAAAGGAGTTGGGACTGCAAAACAGAAGCCAAGCAAAAACCAAAGACAGTTATCATCTTATGCAGCCCACTGTCCAAGTAAACAATCCCAAAAAAACACTAACTTCATAAGCAAAACTACAACTAAACACTTAACACATACAAATGCTTCAAACAAAAACCACTATGAGACTCCCTGATCCAAAAAAAAAAATGAGTTCAATAAGACAAAAAGTGCAAGTTTCTCTATTTCCTATCATAGTGAGCACAACCACAAAGCACAAACATACCTCGACATGGATTAAATTAAGAAAACATGTCTGAATTTATGAAACACTACTTAAAAACAAAGAGTGGGAAACGAAACAGAATTCCAATGCCTCTTCTAAAACATACCCCAAACGGAGTCAAGGAAATTTGGGGCGTAGTTCAAATTCTTTAAATTATTATGCTCAGACTCACCCGCCAGTAAACAAACAGATTCTTTTCTGGATCATTGTACAGCAACACTTCAATCCTACAAAATACAAGTTTGAACACAAAATTCTTAAGTAAAAAATGCCAACTTGTGTAGGAAACAATATGTTCCATGTTGATCATAATTATCAAACAGCTTGGACTTGAAAACACAGATAAACAGAGGTTATGTTGCCCTTGAAAGCAATTACAATCCCATAAAAGAGCTAGTTGCAAGTTCCAAATAGGGATACAATCTAATCAAATTGTTATTCAATGATATACAAACGAGAGGCAGTTCCTATTTGGATGCTTCAAATCAGAATTTGAGTATGATAAGATATTCAAACAGATTTAGAATTTTAATCATGACAAGACATATCCAAAATTGTTACTTAGTGAAATATTCAAACAAATTTTAAAAAATTCCAAATTTGAAATAATCTTGTACTATATGGTTAATAAATCTTTAACCTAAAAGTAGTTGTTTATGTCATATATTAATCAACAGGATACGTGTTGCTTTATTGTGAGTGTTATTCCTTTACAACTCCGTAAACCAAATTTGCCTCTATGATTCATATTAAAGTTAAAGTGTTACACCATTCTAATTTTGTTTTAGATACAGAATAAAAACTAAGCATGAAATTAACACATAAAAAAAAGAGGAAAGTGAAGAACTAGAAATAAATAATACCCTCAAAAACACCCATGGACACCGGATTTGGCTTCAATTTTGTTGCTCGTCTTGGCCTGATTCTCTGCAATGGTAACTTCTCGTGACTGCTATCCTTTCTGTTCCTCCTCCATCGCAGCATCTACTCCTACTTCTTCGTGCCTTGATTGCAGAGTCATGGTCGAGAGCTAGTAGGGTTGCGAACCCTGAGCTCCTGAATCTTCTCTTTCCCTTCGTTCTCTTTCCCTTCACACGCCTGAAAGATCGACGATAAAGAATTAATGGGTTTGACAATTTGCAATTTATGGATGCGTGAATTTAATCTGTGAATGGTGGGTGAATTCGTGAATCTGATGCGTTCTCTTGGTGATGCGCTCTCCCTCTTTCTAAATCTCGGATACGGAGTCATAATAATGGGGTAAAAATAATACTCCCTGGCTCCAAAAAAAAATTTACACCTTTCAAAAAAATTACGTCCCACAATCTCCTACCCATTTTTATTAAAAAACCACTTTTACCCCTTACTTTTTCAAACTCTACCTATCACATCATACCTTTTCTTAATAATCTACACATCACATCCTACTTTTACCCATCACATCAAGGGTATTTTTGGAAATTCAACACAAAATTATCCCTCTCTTAATTTCAACTTTAGTCAAAACGTGTAAATCTTTTTGGGAGGGAGGTAGTATGACTAAAATGGGTCAAGAGTTTTATACGTATGGGCTTAATTAGATGTTTGGTTGTGTGCATATTGGGTTATACTCCATTGTTTAGAAGGCAACACTTTTAAGGGTGGAGAAATAAAATACACATTAAAAATTTGCAGCACTTGATTATGTGCAGCAAAATAAGTGTGGTAAACTTGTAGTGATATTTTATTTTGTCAAAATGATACGAAGTATTGAAACTAGATAGAAAAATGAAATAACACAAACTAAAATTTCTTATTAATAAAAATATCTAATAATATAAAATATTATTATTTTAATAATAATTGACCGGGTCGTTGACCCTTGAGTTGACCGATTCAACCCCTGACGCACTAGTTCACCTGGGTCGATGTCTGATCTAGTATTCAGAACATTAGTTTGGGGATATAAGTATATACTCCCTCCGTCCCAGAGTATTTGTCCAGTTTGACTTTTTCGAGTCAAACTAGACAAACTTTGAACTTCAATTAAATAAAAATTGTAAAGTATTTTAATATAAAAATGACTTTATTGGATTTATCGTATTGAGAACTTTCAAAATTGTATTTCATTATGCTAATATGTAATACAAATTGAGAGTAATTAGAGTTCAAAGTTTATCCAGTTTGACTCGAAAATGTCAAACTGGACAAATACTCTGGGACGAAGGCAGTATAAACCTTTACTCTGATTTATTTATTTATTCATTTTGTTATAATACTATTACGTTTATTATCATTTAAATATAATTAATTTGTACACGGTTGGTGAGGGCATTAGAGATAAAGCTGGGCTTTTTTTCGGTTTGGACCCACATTCTACAGATCCGCTAGACAAACGAAGGTATACGCGGAAAAACACCTACTACGCCCTCGCTTGCGTTTTTTCACCAGATGAATTAAAGTTTCTTTATATAGCGCACTAAAGGAGTCTTATACTCAAGAGTTATCTTTTTGACCAATGTGCAGAAGGTGATTTTTAAAATGATTTTTTTTTACAAATTGGTAAAGAAAGAAAAAATAATTTAAAAATTTTGTCAAAAATTCTACAAAATAATACTCTATCCGTTTCTCAAAACGGTTTCTCTTTTGACTTTGGAGAAAAATAAGGAAAGTGTAATTTTAATTGACTTTGCAATTTTGCCCCTGATGTGATGAGTAAAAAGTAAGATGTGATAATTTAGTTATTAGTGAAAAAGCATGATGTGATAGGTAGGGTATGAAAAAGTAGGGGTGAAAGTGGTTTTTTAATAAAAAAAGGAAGTGTTTTAAGAAAAACAAAAAAAATGAAAGAGAAAGAGTTTTAAGAAACGGAGGGAGTATGTGCTAAGAATATTTTATTGTATCAAATGATCAATGAAAACATAAGAACAAACGAAAGTTATCGAGAAACTATAAAAGTAAAGAGATAATTCTTTTAGGAACAGAGCGAGTATATTCTTCTATATATATATATAGAGAGAGAGAGAGATCTCCGTCGTCATTGTGATCACTTAGCTAGCTTTAACATTACCATATCATATATACCCTGGGATCAGTGAATCCAGGCCAGCATGTTATCTATAAGATGGTGTGGCGCAATTGCATTCTTCTCACTCGATTTTGCAGCACTAGTTCTGGTTCTGGTGCCACTACTATTTAATCATAAGGTGCTATCACTTATTCATGTATGATATGATATGTAGAGGCATTATTTTTTTGCTGATGAGATAAAACATATATTTAAAAACTATATAAAAAAAATTTACGAATACAAAAAAATTAAAAATGACATTCCTATGTTCCGGTAGCAAATGATCCATCAGGGAAAACACATTGGTAAAACGGAGAAATAAAATGTATCGTGTCTTTGAACAACTAGTAAATGAGAAATTTATTTTGGAGACGCGTGGGGGAGGGAGTATATATCCAACGTATTCTAATGTATTCACATCTTTCTTTAATTTTAATTGAGGGCCTGTTTGGAATAGCGTTAGAGATTAATGTTAGCATTTTGAAAAGGGTATTTACGAGCAACGTTTAGCGTTAGCGTTTTAAAGTAATCTACACCGTTGAAATTTTATCCAAAATGCTAACGCTAATCTCTAAAGCTATTCCCAAAGATGCTCTGAATTACTACGTGCGTTCCAGTGTAATTGTTCAGTTTGACTTTTTCGAGTCAAACTGGACAAAGTTTGAGCTTCAGTTAATCTCAATTTGTATTGCATATTAGTACAATAAAATAAAATTGTGAAAGTTTTCAACTAGACAAAATTTAATAAAGACTTTTTTATACTAGTATACATTATAGTTTTTGTTTAACTGAAGCTCAAACTTTAGTCATTTTGACTCAAAAAAAAGTCAAACTGAACAAATACACTGAGACGAAAAGAGTATGTTATTGTGAAGGATAAAACAACTCGTCCATCATTTATTGTTTAATTTTGAGTTTTATGCATATTCATATATATAGGCGGATTCGGATGCCTATATTCTACTGGCAGCAGCTCTTGCTGTACTATCTTGTATCTTTGCCCTAATCTCTGCATGCTGCTTTTGCTACGATGGCCGCGAAGATGAGACTGTCAAAACACGCGCGCAGTGGTTTTCATCCCTTTTCATGCTTTACACAATGTATGTCCATTCTTCTCCCTTTAATTTGAAAAACAAAGAGGATTCTTCATTCTTGTATTGATTAATATGGTACCTCCAGCCCAATTTTTTTTGTTAAATGACTTTATCTAAATTATACTTTCTCACTACCAAAATGATTTGCATTACTTTAGAATTTCTGATATAATTTTTAAATATTCAAGTTGTATTTTTTTTTTTACTTTCTATATGACTTGTAAACAAAATAAATTTCAAATTAATGAAATTTTGCACGTCGTCTAATTTGAATAGTGTAAAAGATTTCAGAAGGCAGGGAGTATTTATTTATATTTTTGAAAGTGAGACAAAATCAAGGAAACATAACTATTAAGTAAAATTTGCACTAAATAGTAAAATATACTTCCTCCGTCCCTAAATAAACTTCCCCTTTCGTTTTTTTTGTCCCCAAATAAACATCTCTTTTCTCTTAAAAAACCCCTTTTATCCCTTACTTTTTCATACTCTACCTATCATATTATACCTTTTTACTAATAATCTACATATCACATCTTACTTTTACACATCACATCAAGGGCATTTTTGGAAAGTCAACACAAAAATATCCCTCCCTTAAATCCGTCAAAAAGGGAAGTTTATTTAGGGACGGAGGGAGTATGTCATTTTCCAATATACTCTCTCCGTCCGGATTTTAAGTACCCATTTTGACTTTTGGTCATTTTTATTGGGTGTTGACTTTGGGATGGAAATGTCCACAATACCCTTCCTGTTATCCATCCCCTAAGCCCACACAACCACACCATCACTGTTAGCTCTACCTGCCGCACCACCACCGTCAGCTCCGTCCGTCGCAGGAACTTTCCGAGGAAGAATATCTGTGAGGAAGTTAGGCGAAAAAGGAGAAACAGATCAAGCGAGTCGGCGGCTGGATCGGTTCCTTTGGAAGAAGCAATCGGCGGCCAGGCAGTAGAGTAGAAGTCTGCGGATCCAGGTGCGTTTCCGGTACGCCAACTGCCGTCCCCGCCGGCGAATCCGTGCCCGCGACGATTCCGGTGCGGGAGGCGGCAGTGAAGACCCAAATCCTTGCAACCTAGGTGCAGATCTGGCTGGAAAGAGAAGCAGAAGCTAGAGTGAAGGTGACAATCGAGAAAAAATACCAGAGAAGAAAGGAGAAGAAGAAAAGAAAGAGAAGATGGGGAATAGGAAAGAGAAGGAGAGAGAAGAAGAAGATTGAAGTGAGGGAGGACATACATAAGCAGATCGGGAAAATGGAATGGGAAAGAAAGGAGAAGAAGAAAAGGGGGGAGGGTGGGGGAAAGAGAGAGAGAAGAGGAAGAGTGAGTTTTGGATAATGAGAGGGTATTTTAGGAAGAGTGGGTATAAAAACGTAGAATGAGAACTTTATTTTCGGACGAAAAAAAGTGTAGAATGAGTACTTAAAATCCGGACGGAGGGAGTAGTACTTAAATTTTTTTATTTCCAAAATAGTACTTGAATAATGTCTAGTGGCGAAAAGAATGTCCAGTGATGGGTGACACTGAGTTTGAACAATGTCTGGTGGCGGTGGACATTTACTTGAACAATGACCAGTGGTACTACATTGGAAAATAAAAACATATGGTACTACTTTGGGAAAGTCTCTATGTTTTAGTATTATTAAGGTAAATTACTCAACTATTAAATATCTAATACCTAACTTTTTATCCAAAACATATTTTTAAATTGTTGAAATTAGTTATTTAATTATTTGAATATTTAATTTAGATTAAATCTGTTTAGTTTTTGTATTTTACATTGTTTAAAAAAATTGGGGGCTGCCCGGGCACCATATTACTCCGTATATTGTTCTTGGCATGTTCAACAAATATGCCCCTAGTTAAATTTAGTCCCTCCCTCCCATAAAACATTTCTTATTTCAAAAAAGGTGCGCCCTTAAAATGAGTAATTTTGGTGTTATTTTCTAATTTTGCCCTTACTTTAAAAAAGAGTAGGATGAGATGTGTAGAATAGATTAGTCATAATTAAAAAATAACACTAAAATTACTCATTTTAAAGGCATGCCATTTTTGAAACAGGAAATGTTTTATGGGACGGATGGAGTATTTTTGATATCCGCCAGTGGACCAATATATATAAAATATTTATATCAATATTAAATATTAATTTTTTTGAAAGCTAAATTTTATTTAATTAATGGTGAAAGTTTATCGATTCTGATTGTAAAAAGTCAAAACTGGACAAATATTCTGAAACGGAAGTATCATTTATTTTGTGCATGCTCTAAGACTACTTGTTTTCCCCGCTTTTATTTGAAAATAGTTGCATTTAAGAAATGTGTCATTTGAGTATTATTTTCTAATTTTGTATGTACTTTATATTCCTTCCATTTTAGATTATTTGTCCGGTTTTGACTTTTTAGAATTAATCAGGATTGACTTTTGATCTATAATTAAATAAAAATTACATGGTATATTAATTAGATAAAATAATATTTTTTGAAAAAGATAAGTCTAATAAAACTCATCTTGTATCAATATCTAATACAAAGTATATTTTTATTTAATTAATTGTCAAATTTATCAATTTTAACTAATCTTATACAAATACTTTAAGACGGATGTAGTACTACGTAGTAGAGTAGAATAAGATGTGACGGTAGGTTAACAGTGAATAATATAATATAATAAGTAGGTTAATAATTAGAGAGAACTTCCTATATAGGTCATAGGAGTAAAAAACTACTCCCTCCGTCCTATAATGATCTTCCCGGTTCGCAAAACGAAGAAAAATCCCAAATTTTTTCAATCGACTTTATTTAAATATTGGTATAGAAATAAAAAATAAAACATACATATTTAAAAACTACACCAAAAGTTCAGCAAAACAAGTGGTGACAAGAATATTTTATTTTATTATATAGGCCATGAAAAAACACAAATAAATATAAATTCCCGTGAACTTGGAATAGTGCTCTGGGAAGATCATTATAGGACGGAGGGAGTATGAAAATACCAAGATAGGAGTTCACACTGCCATTGGTACATTGTCACACTCACCACATTGTCACATTGTATCTGTCACATTATCAATGGCACACTTAGCTTCCATTCATCGCCGCCGGCCACTGGAGTACTGCTGCAAATCGTCGACGGTTGACAGATCACATTGACATATTACACTATCATCTATTTTCCATCGCATTGCCAATACGTATTCTTAGACTACACTGCCATCATACACCTATTTTAGTCTTAAAAAAACATATGACTCCTATTTTAGCATTTTAAAACTTTTTTACTCCTATCTAGGGACATTTCTTTAATAATTACTCCCTTAGTCCCACATTAATATTCCATTTCTACTTGTTTTTGGTCTTCAAATTTGACACTTTGACCATCAAAATGTACATTTATATGTTAATAAATTTTATTAAAAAATATGATTTTAAAAATTATATCTCATGACAAATTAGATTTTCATGATTATTCAATAAATACATTTCAAATTTTATAATCAAAGTTTTTCCTATTTTGACAAAAATAGTCAAAGTGAAATATTTTTGCAAGACAGAGTGACTACTAAGAATCGATAGATAATGTTAATTAGAAGTGGAACTTTTTTTGACATCAATGAAAATTAAAATGAGAAAGATTTTTTAAGGATGGAAGAAATATAATGTTAAAATAAAATTTGCAGAATTTAAAAATTACTTCCTCCGTCCCAAAAAGATTTACACATTTCAAAAAAATTGTGTCCCACAATCTCCTACCCATTTCTATTAAAAACCCACTTTTACCCCTTATTTTTTCAAACCCTACCTATCACATCATACCTTTTTCCTAATAATCTACACATCACATCTTACTTTTACCCATCACATCAAGGGTATTTTTGGAAAATCAACTCAAAATTATCCCTCCCTTAATTTCAACTTTAGTCAAAACGTGTAAATCTTTTTGGGACAAAGGGAGTATGAAATATTAAAAAAAATATACACTTGGTATAACACCCCAACCCGCGTAACCCGAATCAACGAGTTAGCGAACCGGATTGTTACTAAATTCGCATGTATAACTTATTTAAACCATTTAAAATAAAACAAACATCCACCCATAATAAGTTAAGAAAATAGAATATCCATTGTTCATCGGAGTAATAATATAAGTTTAAAATTTGCGGAAGCTCAAAACCAAAACTAACGTTCAAGTCCAAATAATTAAATGATTAAATAATATTTTTTTTGAAAACAAGGAAACTGTATTAAATTTGAAGAGGTACAAAGTCAGGAGGGGAAGAATCCCAATACATAATAGAAGTTTGCCCATAGGCAGCAGCCAGAGAATGAGCACAAAAATTAGACAATCGAGGAATAAAACTGAAGGAACAATTATTAAATCCTTGTTTAAGTTTCCTGCAGTCCGAACTAGTGATGCCAATATAAGAACGATCTTCCATACAAGGATTTGCCATGTTGTGACATAAGGTTGCACAATCAGAAAGCACCCGAACAGACGTCACCCCGCGAGACTTTAACCAAATGAGCACCTCTTTAGCAGCCATCGTCTCTGCCAATAACGGGCACAAGCAGCGGGAGAGGGGTCCATTCACAGCCCCCAAGAAAGCTCCATTATGAGAGTAGAGTACAGCACCAAACGTACCTGAACCAGAAGCATGTGAGAAGCTGGCATCAACATAGCAGGTAGGGAAGCAACTGAGCGAAGTTTCATCCGACTGCTGACGATTATCAAGGAGAAGAGAAGGGACTTGGGCTGACTTCCAAGCTGCCAATTTGACCCGCGCCAAGGTGCAAGTGACTCGAGGGGTTGGTAATTTCTTCTCCCAGACTACTAAATTTCGTGCCTCCCAAATCCCGTGCATAACCCCAACAGCCAGCTCTACTTCCTCATGGTTTAATGCGCTCAGCACCGATTGTAACCACTGTGGGAAATCCACTCCTGACCCATTATGCAATGACAATCCAGATTCTCTCCACACCTGCCTAGCATAAACACAAGTGACAAGGG